CAAAATCAGGCGGTAGGTTATCCAGCACGACTGGTGGTGCGTTGGAGAGTGTAGGAGTAGTCGACTTTACTTCTGAGGCAGGCGGTGCCTGGGAGGCGCTGGGAGGCTCTTTCACCTCAGTTACACTGAGACCGCGACGTCGCCTGTACTCGGACAACGACATGCGAACTTTTCCAATCTCCTGCTTCCGCAATTCCTCTACCTGTCGTTTCACAGTAGCCTTCTTGGGAGGCAACTGCTGAAAAAAACCCATAAGAATCAGATGAACTTCGATAGATGTGAGGTTGAAAAGGACAGGAGGCAATAAAGGTAGCTTTTAGTAATTTTCATCACCAGATAGTGGCACCATGCATCTCAGGTTCAATCGGCTACCTGAAAAAATTGGAGAATTAAACGTGCTTCTTAAATGATACAATCAAGGCGTTTAACGAACGACCTGCGTTTCACCTGACAGCATGGAAAGGCAATCTAGGATTATAAACGCACAAGTTTACTGAAAACGAAGCTTAGTTTAGATCCTGGGTTTTCGGGTAGTAAGAGCTCGTAGAACACGGTCGGTGGAGAACATCGACGTGTTTACCACAATTTTTCAGTCAGAAAACTCCAGTGTGGAAACAACTGAGGACAGAACCTAACGTGTACGAAAACTTAGAGGCTCCCTATGATCGTGATCTGTCATATTTAAAAGCCTGTGCGACCCACACCAAGCGCTTTGCCGGCTGCGGTCCAGCAAGCCAAAGACGAAATGAAATTCCAGATAACATGGTCTTGACTCAACCACTTTTGGTCTATAAGATACCTACGGTATTGTTATTGCACAGAAAGGCGGTTTCAGACCACAGTTCATAGACAATTAAATGGCACAGCTAAGTCCGAATTCTAATACGCACTGATGTGGGCGTTGGATGCGGGCCAGAAGGCGTAGCTTCAGCAGGAGCAGTCATAGGAATCCACGCGTGAGCACCATTCGTGGTTTTTGGAGGAGATCGAGCAGGATCAGCAGCAGTGGTTGGCGTTTCGGCCACGGGTGCCTCAAGAAGTGCGCTATTATCATCACCCTTCTCTTCCTTCTCCTCAACCTTGTTTGCAATTCCAGATAAAAGTGGGGCCGATGACTCCGCAACTGCCGCCTCAGCCTCAGCCAGCTGTGAAATGATCCTTTTCTTGGGGTTTAACGAGGGAGCACTGTGCCAAGAAGAAGCAGAATCGGGGTCTCCACTTGCAGGAAGGAGTTGGGGAGGCAGGCTGGGAACACTGAAGGCCAAATTTTGATTGTTGAGGCTGTTTTGTACCTCAATGTCTCCCTCCATCAGAGCCTAGAAAAAAGAGAACACGTATATAGGGAAAGAC